GATGAATCGGTGTTGTCCTAATGCAGTAAAAGAGAGCAGGAGCGAGAGAGTAGGATTGTATCGGAATGAACAAGGGGGTTTTGCTTGCCTGGCACTTCTGAAGATAGTATAATTCTTCATCGGTGTCATCGAACTCATCGTCGGAACCACGTCTATCGAGAGGGAACAATTACCGGCAACAGAGAGGAAACACAATCAATGCAATGCACATTATGATGCATGCTCATGACATGGCAACATGCTGGTGTTTTGAGCTAATGCAGCTAGCAACAAAGTTAAATGAAGTTGGTTTGAACCCTAAGTTCAAATCCAAACTCCATATGTGAAATTCAAATGCCATTTATATGATTTGTGCTAAACAGCAGCTATAAGTTGTTCTAACATGCATGAAAATAGTACAGATGGATAGATTGGATTTTTTTGATCATTTTTCATATATAATTTATCTCATTTGGAGTTACGGTTGATTTTATATGATTTTTAGAAGTTTATACTATTTTCTGGAATTTCTTGGTTTAATTAAAATCCAGAAAATCACTTACTGCATCAGCATGAGGACAGCATGACGTCAGCAAGGTCAATAGGGTCAAACCTGACCCGTGGGGTCCACTGGTCAGTGAGACATACACTAATCCCGCATTGACTCGGGGTTTGACCCGCTGCGGGGCCCGCTGTCAGTGTCTAACGGTGGTTTAGCTGGTGTTGATTAGCACTAATTACGCGGCCACGTCGGCACGTCGGAGTTTGGCCGGCGGCGACCTAAACTGCGGCGGCAACTCGCCGGACTTGAGCTGCGGGCGACGGCTGGATGCGCGAAGGCCACCAGGAGGTAGCCCGTGGCCGCGCGCATCCAGGGGAACCAACGGAAGGGTGCGGGGTGGTCGGCGTTCGCCGGAAGCGAGGTTGTGGCGGTGGCCGGAGTTCGGGCGCCGATGAAAACGACGACGCCGTGCACGGGAGGATCTACGGTTAGCACCTACGCGTTCTATGAGAGCTCACGAACCCAACGGAGGCACGCACGGAACCAAATGGCCACCGGAGCCTCGTCGGCGACGAGCTCATGCGGCGGCGTGCTGTCGGGTGGGAGAGGCGCGGCGGCTACGGCATGCTAGAGAGAGAATGGAGAGGGGGAGGATGATCAGGAGCTCACGTGGAGTGCAGTGGTGGACTCGACGTGCTCGGGGAAGCTCGGACGGCAGCGAGTCGGCGATGAAGATCCGCGGCGGCCGACGATGAAGAAGTGGTTGGGGGCGGCGCGTTGGAGCTCTTCCGGCCATGTGAGCTGACGGAGAGGACGAGGGTGGCACAGCGGAGCTCGGGGGCTGGTCCATGGGTCTAGCGCTGGCCGGTGGCCGCGGTGGTGACGAACGGCGGCGACGACGCATTCGGGTGTGCATGAGAGAATGAGACAGAGGAGGGGAACGAGGGAGAGGGAGAGAGCGAGGGGGTCCAGGGGGTCGGGGCGGCGCCGAGGAGAAGACGCGAGGCGTCGCGGTGGCCAGGCGACGCAGGCAGGCAGCCTGGTGGCGTGGCGCCCGCGCGCGCGCCATGCGTTCTCCCTCCTCTGCCTACTGGCAGAGGTTGGGGATGACTGGCACCAGGCCAGGTGGGCTGGGCCGGCTCCTGGCCAACACAGGTGAGGCCCAGGTGGGCTTGGTGGCCGCCAGGTAAGTTCCAGGTGAGCCTCTGTTCTTTTTCTATTTTTATTTTCTGTTATTTTTTTTGATTTAGTTTGAGAACTAAATCATTTTAAAACTTTCTGTAAATTTTTGTGTGAGCTCAGAGAGATAGTCCAAGGCCACAAGCAAATTTACAAAAATATTTGAACATTATTTCTTATATAGCAGAAATAATTCCAACCCAAATATGTTATTAATTTAAATCAAAGGCCCAAAATAAATTATTTCTATGCCTCCAAAAATGTTGGTTTGAGTTTTACCTCATGCCAATATTTTCACAGAATAACAGGAACATTTTCTTGGACTCATTTGATGAGATTTAAATGTTGGTTATTTTTAGAGGTCTTCTGAGGCTTTTGAAAATTCCTCAATTCAAATTTCATTAGAATTTAAACATGATGCTCACATGAAGACTAGCCTAATGCATACCGGAACTAGGGATGTGACAATATTGGATGGCCCAAATGACGCTACTGGGCCTAATTCGGATAGGGCGTGATGGACCTTGGGTTAGCGGGCTGTAAATGGGCTATATGCAAACATGCCGTTAACAGGCTTTCGATGGACCGGCCCGCCACCTTTTGACCAAGTCAAACGGGCCGGCCTTTTCAAAGGAATGGGCCACTGTTGGGCTGTGCCACGTGTCGATGTATCATAGGCACCTTCTGTCCAATGAGTGGATGACATCTATCCCAACGATGAGCCGACACGTGTTTCCTCCAGCCAATGATGATTTTACACATGGAAAATCCCCATTGGTTGGGGCTATTAAGGGGTTATCGGATCCAAAACCAGACCCGATAGCTTAACGGCGTTCCGTTACGGTGGATGCCATGTGTCGGTCACCCTTGACGAAAGCACTTCTATGACGCGCGATTTATCGTCATTGAAGTAGACACTTCCGTGATGATAATTTTGGTAATGTCATGGAACACTTCTATGACAGCACAGGTATGACTATCTTGATTCTGTCATAAAATCATCATGGATGTACATGCATGACAAAAAACACGACCTACTATGACAAACACGTATCATCACAGAAGTGTATTTTTTTTGTAGTGCAAGTGCATAACGATCTTAAAGTTATTGTCCTTGTTATGCCTCCAATAGTCCCATCAATGGTGAACTTAGATTTTTCCATATGTCGTTTCTTTTTTTCTAGATACCAAGTTAGAGTACACATGAGTGATGTGACTGCACTAGAGTTGTATAAGTAGACCCAAAAGTTGCTAACCTTTTTTGTGATGCACTCGAGTGCATAACACAAGTATTCTACCATAACTAGCTTCATCTCCAAGTTGATAGTACTAAAGGAAACTTACTTTCTGAGGTATCCTAACATCATCCTAAGTTGTCTGTCATGACTAGTTAGTAGGATAACATTATCATAAGTTGCATACAATACTTTTTCAGTGTGGTAAGCAACTTAGTTTCATATATAGCAACATTGATTGACAACTTATTAATGTATTGTAAGCAACTGAAATAGTAATCCCAGTTAACTGAGCATCACTGATAGGCAACTTCATAGTGTTTTAGGCAACTTAAAAAAAAGTAATGATAAGCAACTTCATAATATTGTAGGCCACCAATTTGCAAAGTTAGACAACTAAGCAACAATGGTAGGTAACTAATTATCAATAGCATGTAACTGGAGATCAATGGTAGGCCAATTTCGTATTATTATAGGCAACTGAGCATCAATGATGGGCAAGTTAGTATCCATGGTAGGCAACTAAGCAACCATGGTAGACAAGTTGTGATAATGTTAGTAAAATTCATTGATACACATAGTGCAATAAAGTTATTTATCTGTAGCACTAAAGGTGCATCATGTTTTTGTGTAATTTTCTTATTTTTACACAAACCAACCTATTAGACAGTCCTACTAGACAAAAATAATAAAGTTGCTTTCCTATATCACTAAAATTGCCACAATCGTACCCAAAGTTGCCTAAAAAAAGTTTAACGAAACCTATCTATATGCCCTGTTCAAGAATTCATCCGATTAACCAGTTAACTTGCCGATTAATCCATACTCGTAGGGTCGTCGAGTAGCCTATAAATCGATAAATCGTCCGATTAATTGATTAAATGGCCGATTAACTTGCCGATTAGCTGATTAATCCCCTAATCACCTGGCAACCGAGCAGCTACCAGTTAACGATTTCCTTAACAATGTCTATATGAGATCTAGTTTTGAAGGCCTCGTCGCGAGAAACCCAGCTATGAAAACGAAATTGAATTTCAACACTTAAATCAAAAGTTACATGTTTTTTAATTTTTTGGACCCACAAATAAATGCACGTGAGACGAGATTCCTTTTTTAGTGAACTACGTCGTGCACGTCAGTTGTTATTTCCACATTTGGAAAAGCGCCAAATCCCACCAACAAGCACTCGGGCGCCCGCTAACCACGTCATAATTTTTTCTTTAAAAGAAAAAGAAGAATTTAACCAGCCCTCCCTCTCGTCTCAGCTTTTCTTTTTGAGCAAACAGGATGTCAGTGCACAACTAGAGCGTGCACAGTCCACACAGCCGGCCCAAGCCCGCTGGACCTCCACCTGCCCTCTCCGCGCTGTCGTCTTCTCCAGAGAGATCGAGGGACGCGTGTGCCGGCCGACATCAGCGAGCAACCACCGCGGCTCTCCTCTCCCCTTGAAGCCTCCCCAGCCACCCAAATCCTAACCCTAACCCCCCCTCTCCCTTCCGCCGCTGCCAGGTGGGTCTCCCCTTTCTGTTCTCTTCCCCACCAAGCAAACCGAGGAGCACCAGAGCATCGCCGGAGCAGGCCACCGTGGCCAGCGTCCTCCGCCGGCGTTTTCTTCGTGACCGGGAGCCCCGCCTGCACGACTACTTCCTCTACTCGGACGACCTCGAGCTCGGACGCCTCCACGCCGTCGAATTGCTCGACCTCCTCCTCTTCAGCTGATCGCCGTCACCGTTCAGATTCGCCGCCGACAGACCTCCTCCGCCATTTTCGGCTACGCCAGCATCACCAGGTGAGCAGCCGCGCCAAAAGCCCCAACCTCTCCACCCTCGATTTCGTCCTCGGAGCACGACCTCCGGGAGCGCCACCGTTCGGTTTGGTCGCCGGCGTCGTTCCGATAGTTGCTAGGTCGTGCGCGTGGCGTCGCTAGACTCACACGAGCAAGCAGACCTCTCGCTCATTCCAGAGGTCTAGCATCCGAGCATTGCCGCTGGAGCATCGCCCCTAACTTTTAATACCAACATTAGGCTCAGACGACTTAAATGGCCCAATTAAATTATTGTCCTCTTCACCTGGGGCAAATGCTTATTGATGCAGGGAAGAAGAAAATGAACACCATGCTGTCAGAAAATGCTGAAAGGAAGCCACGTGTGCTTCATAATCTGCAAAAGCAGCTAGATGAGGTAATCTGCTTTTGCATCCAATTACTTTGTGCTTTCTTTCTATAATATAGTTTCTGGATACCCTTGAAATTGTTCGCTATTGCTAAATTGCTTTCCTTCATTTCTCTTCTGGTGCTAGATCATCTTACTTTTTTCAATATTGTTCTTTGCCACCGTCAGGCTGTCCTCGATATGCAACTCTATGAGAAAGCTCTAGATGTGTTTGAGGATGATCCTGCTACCGCTGTAAGCTGCTACAGCCTATGGGCATCATTCTTACAACATCGCTTGCTACTCAATACGTTATCAGCCTTTACTTACGGTCCTTTTCTTTACCTGTTTTCTGGTTTTCAGGGCATATTACACGATCATCTGCTAAGAACTATGGCTACTCCAGTAGTCAACAAGATTTTATTTAGTCTGGTAACTTCTATAAGCTCACACAGTGGGGTTTGCGACTTTGCGTGCAAGATTATAATTCATAAATAATTTCGTGATGTATTCATTTTGGCTTTAATTTTACCCTTGCAACAGAACCCTTCAAATAATATGCAGCCCTGATTGTGTTATTTCCCTACTCGTGATCTTTCTTGCGCGACGAACTAAGAAACTGTGACTAGCTTATGAATTATAATCTGAGTCGTTTAGAAGGTTTTGTAACCTAATTCTCTGACTAGCACATGTATTTTGCACTGAACTACCGATAGGACAAGGACAACAAATTGAAGAATGGAATGGAGTTTGAAGACAGCGAAGAACAGGATGTTCAGCTGAGCAGTACTGAGCGTACTTTTCTGGTACAGTTCACTTATTTCATTTTTACATATGTTATGCAATGTTTGCCTGTGTCAATTCTGGATGAAAATTTCATTTTGTTTAACTTTGTGGGTTGCTCTTTGTTAAAAAAAAATCAGGCAAAGAATCTTCCAGGGCAATTGTCATCGAAGGCTCAAGCTTTAATAGAAGCAGTGGAGGGAAAGGTTTGTCTGTAACCAAAAAATATTGTTTGATGAATTGATTGAAGCCTTGAACTCCATAGTTCGTATTTTTCTTGTTCGAAATCTAGTATGCATAACAGCTTAAATTCTGGTAATATGTTACCACCTACAGTTAACAATCTAACACACCATAAAAACTTTTAGTCTGGGTCTCTAGGGTAGGTCAGACATTTAGATGATGAACATGACAAATTACTAAACATTTTTGATGCGATGATCTATATAGAGATGAAGTTCTTCCGTGAAGCATCCTGCATTATGTTTATCACCAGATTGCCAAGATGCTATGTTGTAAATACCCAACACCTATACCGTGCACAATATCCTGTCATTCTGTGGACTAACAATGAAATCCACTTCATGTTCATTTTCTGTATGTTCTACGACACCAATTATTTGATCCTTTAATTACTACTACCTCTGTTTCGAATTATAAGATTTTTACCTTTTTTCGAAAATGAATGTATCTAGACGCGTTTTAGTGTGTATGTTTATTCATTTTAATCCGTATGTAGCCCATATTGAAATATCTAAAATATCTTATAATTCGGCACAGAGGGAGTAGTCAATTAAATATGCAGCAGATACCCTGAAAAGAAATGTTGCGATGTAAAGATATGGGTTCAATTTCTTATTGATTTATTATGTCTTCAATTCCTTTTTCAGAAAGTGTATATAATTCATACTAGGGCTGACAAACTAGTTCAGATATAAGATTGCATGTAAGAAGCATCTTCCTCACCAATCTGTTATTCATTGCTAGTTGATAAAATGTGCATGTTCCTCAGCATATGACTGGTGAGTTCTTTCTTGTCTAAACGCATATACTAAATAACAAACGAATACGTGACTGTTGCTATGTCTTTGAGATCCACAACTTCAAATATAACTGGACTTTGTAGCTCTTTCTAACATTTTCCTCGAAATTCACAACAGCGGTTTGATTCATTTATGGACGCCTTAAGAGATGCAGCAGAGGAAAGGTAACATTTTACGTTTGTATTTGCTTTCCACATTGGCTGGATTATCAAAGTGCTTACTCTCTTTTTCAGTGGCTTGTTATTTAAGAAGCTTGATGAAGGACTAGAGCGATCAATGCTGCGTTCCTACCACAAGGTATGTTGGTATCTTCTATCTTGATAGTAATACCAGAGTCTGGAAAACCAGTGAGAACCGACTTTATTGATCTGGGCCTAACAGGTTTTTAGTTTTTGCTAGTTTATGCCCTAAACTTTCCCCTTTGATCCCCAGTTCTGGTGGAATGAGTATTATCAGTTCATCACTTATTTGATATGCCCCAAACATTAATTGTTTCTTGTGTTTTCACTTTTCATATTCTAAACTTAGCAAACCGCTCAAATAACCTGAACCATTCTGGTAGCACTTTTTAAAGCCCTGTCTTACAGTACGATCTTTGTTTCTCTGAAAATATGGTATTTTCCACGGTAAAAAAAATGTTGTTTCTTGTGTTTTTAAGCATCAAAGTAGTGCAAGTACAGAATAGCAGAATGCAAGTCAAAATCACCATGATATGATAATATAAATTTACCAAGATTGTTAGACTCGAGCACTGGCGCAGTGGTAAAGTTGCTGCCTTGTGACCATGAGGTCACGGGTTCAAGTCCTGGAAACAGCCTCTAACAGAAATGCAGGGAAAGGCTGCGTACAATAGACCCAAAGTGGTCAGATCCTTCCCCGGACCCTGCGCAAGCGGGAGCTACATGCACCGGGCTGCCCTTTTCGTTAGATTCGTAGGCGCTCTTATAGATTGGTAGGGTGTGAATTCATACATGCTAAATTTCTTTATGGACGAATTCCGCGCTAATTATTTGACACCTTAATTTCTATGAATTGAAGGATTTGACAGCACAAGTTTCTTCAGAGACTGATCCAGTGTCCTTCCTCCCAAAAGTTGTTGCTCTGCTTTTTCTCCAGGTTTGCTTGATTGTACCTTTCCTGAAATAACACTCCTGCTTTCTCTCTGCATTTATAGGCTGGCCTGAGAAACATCCTTTTTGAATATTTTGTAGGCATACAACAAGGCTCTTCAGGCACCTGAAAGTGCTGTTCGTGCTGTCATCACACTACTGAAGGTAATTTTTTATTTGCATTCTCTTTAAAATATACTTAACGCAAGTCAAGTAGAATATCTTAACTTTTAGTAACAGTATCCTGATCACAGAATCTTTGATACTCCCTCCGTTTCTTTTTACTTCGCATATAAGATTTGGTCAAAGTCAAACTACACAAAGTTTGACCAAATTTATATGAAAAAATATAAACATCTACAATACTAAAACTATATAGTATGAAAATATGTTTCATGGTGCATCTGATAATATTGATTTTATATTGTGAATGTTTATAGTTTTTAATATAAAGTTAGTCAAACTCTACAAAGCTTGACTTTGACCAAACCTTATATGCAGACTAAAAAGAAACGGAGGGAGTACTATATTTGTCTGATACGTTGAAACAGCATAACAGATATTATAATTCCTGTACGTAGCTCCAGAAACTAGTGTTAACCATCAAATTCCTGCCGGCTTTTGGATCGGTGATCGACGGTCCTCTGCATTCTAGCCATAGTTTCTTAGCCCCTTGGGTTTTAGTTTAATAAGAGGCTTACATAATTAGGATGTTTACGCCTGTCTGTAATGTTGGCTTTTTTCACATATTCAGATAATACTGTTAACTTTAGCAAAATCTGTACCTGAGTGATCATCTGCTTCTATTTTTCAGGACAAGCTACCAGCTTCAACCTTCAAGGTTTTAACTGAATATCACGGCACCACCGTGAAACTTCTCGCACTACAAGATGCTGCTACTGGTGATGTAAGTCCACTCCAACAATTTCAAATACATCAGTGCTCACTGTTGTCTGCATTAGAAAAGGATTAGTTTGTTATCCTCCCATAACTTTCATCCGGTTTCTGCCCTGGACTCTATATATGTAGTCTTAATTTCTATTTCGAGCTCTCCCCATTTACCCGAAATCATCTGCTATGGTCAAACATTAACTACATTGGATTCATGCATTAACATTTCTTTTGTCAATCATCTGCCGTATGGAAGAACTACAAAAGAACTTGGACTGCTGTCTTTGTTGCTCACTCGTGCAATGATGCATTGTCTTGTCTTTGCCCTGCAGGAAGATGATTGCACATCGGACCGAATGCTGGAGAAGCAGGAAGACCTGGAAGAGAGGCTGATGCCAGAACTAAAATCCCTGGCCCTGGGCACAGGCAAAGAGTGAGCAGCAAAAATGGTGTGCATTGTACGCCATGCCCTCTGTGTAAATACACATGTCGGGACCCCGACTCAATGCCACATCGATCTAGCCTGTAACACCTCATATCACTTTGCGGCCTCACGCACGGTATCCCCACGGGTGTCGCCTTACCTTTGCCCGGGACCGTTTGCGCGTTTTGGCACACGTATATGATGGTGTCGCTAGCATCCATATGATAAAGAGCCCGGGCTGACATGGCTAGTCGTAAACCCAAAGTGGCACTAACTTACAGGGACAGGCATCCATGACCTAGCATCGAACGTGTCGGTCATCAGCGAGTGAATCCAGGCTGTAGCACTGGGCTAACAGGACTCCGGTGAACCGGGCTGTAGCGGGCTAACAGGACTTCGGTATTCATCGCGTGACATTTTCCCGAAGGGACAGACACAGGAACGAAGAAGGACACATGCCGGCCAGCCTAAGTGTTCCGGAGCAGTAGCAAGCTACCAGGGCTCAGTGGAAGCACTAGGAGACATTTCCCGGTAAGAGAGACTACTAAGGATAAACAACTAGATAGTCAGATCCCACACATAGCAATACACATTACACGTACGCATAACATGCAAGTATGTGCTGTACAACATGGCATCACAGCATAACTCAACAACTCATATAGATAAAGGCTCAGAGGAGCCATCATAGCATTTATTGCAAACAGGGGTCACAAAACCCATCATACAGAGCATACAAGCAACAAGCGGAAGCATTACATGTCTGGGTACAGACATCTACAAATGAAAAAGGCTGAAGAGCCTGACTATCTACAACATCCGATCAAGGTCGTAGCTGAGGTACTAGCTACTAGTCGAAGTCCACGAGAACACTAGTAAGACCGAAGTCTCCGCTGCAAAAGCATAAATAAAGCAACATGAGTACAAAGGTACTCAGCAAGACTTACATCAGATCCTATCATACATGCATTTGTATCAAGAGGGTAATGTGGGGTTTAGTTGCAGCAAGCCAGCTTTGACTCTGTGGCTATCCTGTTCTACGACTACCAGAAAACTCTGAAGGTGAAACAACGTACACGAGTCCACTAATCACCATACAATACACTACTATGGGTTCATCCCCGTCTCCCTACGAGAAGGCCATCCATAGCACTCACACTTGTCTTGAGCATTTTAGAGTATCCACTTCAAGTTGTCTATGTACCATGTAAGCATCCAAGAAGTCCATAACCGCGGACCCGGCTATTCGAATAGATCATGTTAACCCTGCAGGGGTGTACTTCTTCACACACGCTCTCGCCACTTACCGTCAGGTACACGTCATGTATCTCGACAACCTTCAAGCGGAAGCCTGGCAAGGGTGTCGGCCACGACCTGACTAACCACACAAGACTCTAGTCCAGGTTTATCGCCTATTCGGGTTCCATCCGCAAGGAGATCCGGCCGGGGTGTCGCTTACGGCCCCAAATGATGTGTACAGGGTTCCCGAGCCCACCATCCGGGTGCCACTCGGTACACCAGGCCACGTGTGCCTAGTCTGTCCCAAGCCCACCCTGCCGGGTGCCACTTGGTAGAAAAATAGCACTACCTACAAACACCAGAAACTAGTTGCGACTCCTGGACAGAGATCAAGTTGGTTAATAAACCGAGAGAGTCAATTAAGGATCCCAATGTGTGGTAGTATCGAGTCATTGGACAACATACATAGAACTCAGTGCTTAAGGACGGTTCCAATGAGACAACCCACCATGTACTCCTACATGGCCTCTCACCGCTACCTTTACCAAATCGTGTTCACACACTTCACTCTCAGCATCAGAACATATCGTGACACTCCAATTCATTCCCAATGAACCAGACCTGACACAACTCTAAGCAATAGCAGGCATAGCATGGTAGGAACACAACAATGGCTTCAATCAACTCCTACACATGCTAGTGGGTTTCAACTATTTACTGTGGCAATGACAGGTCATGCAGAGGAATGGGTTCAACTACCACAGCACAAAGTAGCATATGAATCGTTGTTGTCCTAATGCAATAACTGAGAGCAGGAGCGAGAGAGTAGGGTTTTATCGAAATAAACAAGGGGGTTTGCTTGTCTGGTAAATCAACAAGGGAGGCACTGCTTCACAGACAGATACTCTGGAACGGACTCCGGAGCAGGACCTATCGAGAAGGAACAGTGTCGGCAATCAAAACACAATCATATGCAACAATATGATGCATGAGCATGGCATGTAGATGTGATGCTGTTTGAGCTAATGTAACTAGTAAACATTTGGTTTGAAGTCCATTTGAACCAAAAGGTTCAAATGCATTTCTAAATTAAGTCTCTTATATATGCCATAATGTGTTTTCTCATATTCAGCATGTATAAGTTGGTTTTTCATGCATGAAACTAGTACAGATGGAAAGATTGCATTTTTCTGATAATTTTTCATATATAAATTATTTTAATCTGAGCTACGGTTGAATTGTTATGAATTTTTGAAGTTTAAAACAATTTCTGGAATTTCTGATTAAATTTAAATCAAGAAATCATATTATTGCGCCGACGTCAGCACGACGTCAGCGGTCAACTGGGCTGGTCCGGGTCAAACCTGACGTGTGGGGCCCACACGTCAGTGACAGGGGGTTAAACAGGGGTTAAATTAATTTAATTAAGAGGTTAGGGGCACCGGGGCCCACATGTCAGCCTCAGGGGGTTAATTAACAGTGATTAGCACTAAGCTAACCACCTGCCGACGGGGTCCACTCGTCAGGCCGGCGAGGTCGTCGGCGGCGACCTCTGGACGCGGCGGCGTCCGCGAAACAGGCCACGGGGGCGGCGTCGGAGAGCACCGGGGCGTAGCCCGGGCTCTCGCGCATCTGGTGGGACAGGTGGGAGGAGCGGGGAAGGCCGGAGCTCGCCGGAGCAAAGCTCGCGGCGGCGGCCGGAGCTCGGCTTCGAGCGG